CTTTTCTTTTTACATTTTTGATCCACAGAGGTGTCTTTTTTATATTGCACAGAACTATCATAGCATGACCCATACCTGCAACAGTTGGCCACATTTCCACTATGACATGGAGACCTGAAAAACTTGCATACAACTTCATTGTGCTTGTGCAATATTCCAATGTTTCCTTTCCATAATGTACATATCTAGATGTATTCATTTTCCAGCAAAGTGAGCTGTACTAAAACTATAAACTTAAACGTGAATTTGGAGCTTTCGGCTCAAAATGACACTGACACTAGTGCCTGTAATACACGCCATGTTAACGCGTTAGGTAAATGCTTCAGTTGTGGGTGAGTATCCCAATCAATGTGCTGATCCATCCAACACTATAATTGAGTAAACTGCTGAAAAGGTTTGAAGCCTATATCGCAAAAACAATTATCTATGGCTGTCAATATTAACTATTGTTTCAGAGTGGCAAAATAGGAGCTGATTATTAAGGTTAGTTATCCCATTGAGACAGTAATAAATAACAAACAGTGTTGTGCCAGCCAGCAGACATTGTGTCATTAGTCAAAGCTAGCAAAATGTCATGACATCCGAACATACAATCAAAGGCTGTATTTTTTTAATTTCAACTCAACGCACTTTGGTTGACACAGGATGGCAGAGGTCCAGCTGATCTGCTTCCAACATAGTCTTGGTTTATTTCTGTGTGCTCAGTTGCCAACATATCTTTGTCATACAGGGGTGGTTGGTAGTATACACTTTAAAAAAATAATACTATTTATATTTTTATGGTAATGGTATCAGAGGGAAACTCACCAATACTAAGATATTCAGAACACTTCTAACAGAGACAAGCTACATAGCTCTATTGTCATCTACAGATTAGTGAACTATTCCTTCCAAAGTTCCCCAAAACATTACATAGCTGCTCCCTTTTTGATCAAGAAGCAGCTCAGTATATATGTATGTCTAGGTTTAGGTTTAATTATAGCTCGCCACCTCCAGCCTGGGAAATTAACAGTTCGTTTTGAAACCCTATAGCCCTGCCTGGACCAGAAGGATGATCTTACATGACAGCTTACCGAGGGTGCGAGCTGAGAGCAGCAAGAGGGCTGATGGGAAGAGAGGGTGAGGCCGGGAGAGGGCTACTCTTACTATGTGCCAAGGGCACAGAAACCACAGGAGGGAGGGGTCGAACTGGAAACTAAAAAAATGTATAAAGAAATCAATAATTACATAGCTCAACATTCTTTTGCTTTATCCAAGCTCTTTCAGCTTTACTACTGACAATAAACTTCCTTTTATTTTCCTCTTATTCTTTGCAGCCTAAAGGAACTACCTTCCTGCACCTTGCTCAACATGCATTCTGCTCTCTATTAAAGCCCCTAATTGGTTAAAGGATCCATACTGGCAGAGCCACAAGCCCGCTGTAGAGATAATAGATTTTTAATGGAGAGATGATGGTAAGGAGACCCTCTCTAGGGAGGTATCACGGTCGAATCCTGAGACTCCAAGACCCATCCTGGAGCCTTGATAAACCACCGCACCCTCCCACCGCTCTCCAATGACATCATCCTGCTAAACGACATCCAAACATCAATGATGACCAGCAGCTGACGAATCACTATTCTGCTCTCAGAGTGTAATGAAACATGAATAACTGAGTTTTAAAGCAGTTCTTCTGAATTTCAAAATTGTCATAATAAACATATTTGTTAGATTACAACCATATAAAACAAGCAGATCCATTCAATTCCCAGGGTAGGAGGACTGGGAACACTCCAAAATCATGAATGAAACTTTCAAGTTTTCTCAATGTAATAACAGATCACCCCCACAACATTTGCATCCCTCAAAAACATTTAGATAAAAAGTTTCTCTGTGCATCTGTCTTCATGAACGTGTGCATGCTTAAACAAGTCGCTCTTAGAGGCACAGGAGTACGAGTGACCTTTACTCCACTGGGTCATCCTTTCAGCTACTCAGGCAGGGTGAGATGGTGGAGGCAGCAGCAGCAGAGATGAAAAGGCCAGCTGACCGCCACACACAAAGAATTGCCAGTTAGAGGTAACGTAAGGGTTATCGTCAGACACCACAAGTGGAATGATCTGTGGATTTATCTCAGCTATTGAAATATGTGAGCGCATGATACTGCTCTGCAAAGAAAGAATATTGAGGGGGGTGAGGGGGGGGGGTGACATAGTGAAAGTTGCCTGTCAAACTATCTTCCTCTTGAGGTGAAGATCCATACATCAAAAACCTCCTTTTGAATTATTTAAGTTACAATAATAGGACTAACTATATCAGGTCAGCAGTTAGACAGTACTTCACGTGAAGGACACCCTCAAATCTGTTTACACAAGACAATGCCCTGGGCCATTTTGGAAGCACACACAGAGTCCAAATTGTAAAAAGAAAAGCTGCCTAAAATGTTCTCATTTGAAATATCTTGGTATAAAAGAGTGGCACTAATTCTGCCCTGCAGTTTGCCACCACCATGCAGGCTAAAGCTGCTCAGAGAAAGGGACAAAAGCCGAACATTGCACCTCTATCCCTTGACTGGACTGCCTCCAGCTGTTTTCCAGCTGCTTCAACTCTTGCCTTCAATGTGAGCGCTGATGTCAAACTCACACGACCCAGTCAGTGTACGTCCAGTGTACTCTAGCAGTCTCTAATGATCATGGAAAAACTATGTCTATGACTCGCAACACATGGGGATGATTTTGTCAGCAGCAGCAGCAGCAGCAATGATGTTGTGGTGGCGAAAACGATGAGATATGAACAGCAGTCAGGCAAAAATCATGCACCAAAAAAACAACAAAAATGTACACATTTATACATGTTTGCTACCAATCTGTAGCATATGATGTAAAAAAAAACATTCTGATTAACTTTAACGACGGAATTGGTGTGTAAATAGTTCCCTCTCGCCCGAACAGCCCCTACGGCCATATTGTGAGTGAATTTCACATTAATGCTGTCATGGCCATCTTCGCCCTTCAACACTTACTGAACAGTTTTGACAAAAGCTTCCAGATAAGGTATAATCCCAAGTCAGCTTTCTAAATGCCTTGTGAAGGAATCTAACTTCCGCAGTGATACATTCAGTTTTCAGTCAGTGTGACGGGGCGTCACCCTACTTGTCTGTGTGGACACCAGCAGCAAGCCCACACTCAGGATTGTCTTCACATTGCACATAAACACAGGCCACAGGAAGTAAATTATCCACCACAGCCGTGTTCATTAAATGCATTCAGTTTCTTTTTCTTAAAAACAAGACGAAATGGAAATTCCCAGCTGTATATATATATATATTTTTTTGTTTCCTCCATAACCAAGTTACAACACCCGAACTCAAGTGACACTGCCATCCAAATAAATGTGTTTTCTTTAGGAGATGTAGACACAATTCACAGCCTTTCTGTTTTCCCATACATGTATCGAGGACTGAAACGATAGCATGAGTTGTGGAGCTCGATAGCCTTCATAAAGCTAGCCGGGGTCGAAATGAAATAACATGATAGCTAACATGTTCAAACTGTACCGCAATCTCCAACGCTGCTCCCCCCTTAAAAAAAAAAAAAAAAAACTATACGCATACTTAAGCTGTATAAAAGACAAAACAGTCACTGCCGACATATTTCGGACACAGGAATGTGCACTGCATACTTACAACAAGCAGGGGTCTAATTAGCGACAACAGCGACGTTTCGTCTACAGGAGAAGAAACAAATCTCTCAGCTGTGATAATGAAGAGGAATCAAAATATTCTTGGTCTGCTTCCTGCCGTCCTCAGATGTTCAGTGCCTTTATTATCTCCGACAAAGTGTTTGGTTTTCAGAAGCTAAAATGCACCAAAGCGTTCATTGGTTCTGGGTAAAACGAGCCCGCGTTGAACAATGTGCTTTCACAGAGAGCAAGAGGGGATGAGGAGTGAAGAGCCCACGCCCAGCTCTATCAAACATAGAACCGCCCCGGTTACCATGCATGTTACTGATGCGTTCAGGCACTGTCGGAAATATGGTAACTCCGCTGTGAGGGCCAGACCACCATTCTTACTGCTGATTTCAACAACAAAAAAAGCCAAGGGGTTCTTGCAAACATCTAAATATGGTGATGCAGGCCTGTTTAATCATTAGATTATGAAATCAGTCAGAACTTTAAAATAGGGACCAACATAGGTCATCAAATGGGTCCAAACTCCCCTACCTCCATCCCTCCTTCTGTGACTAGCCATCAACTCGGGACTTAAATAGACTACTCTGAGCACTTTAAGATGTTTAACTTTACCCCCCCCCCCCCCCCCCAAGAAAAAAAATGATCCTCACCATGACCTTTTTTTATTTTTCGTTTATTTAAAAAAAAAGTTATCTGTCAAATTGAAATTGTACGACGGAGGATTAGGGCCACGTTAAAACATTTTTTTTTTTTTTTTTTAGATTAAAGTCGTAAATTTGCGAGAGTAAAATCGTAAATTAACGAGCTCGAGACTAGCCTGCGCGAAAATCATGAAAGTAAAACTCTTGAAGTCGGTTCCTCTGTAAATAACTTCCTCCAAGTCAGTGTGGTTCTTCAGAAAAGCCACAGTTTCTTGCTGTATCTTTTCAGGGTCCTGATATTTTATGACAATGTGAAGATGATGTGCCAAAAGCAAGTGTAGTTTCATATTTGCACAAGGAAAGCCCCAACACAACTATTTTTATCTGTTATCTGCACTTGTCTGCCTTGTGAAAGTGTCTCATGTGCAGAGACAGTTTGTGTCCTGTTCATCATTTTACAGATAAACAAGGTCTTACAAGTTGAAGTGAAAACTTCTCTTGAACTGTTTTTACCGACTACACAAGGAAGTAGTCTATTTCCTTATTAGTGAACCCTTTAGGACAAAATGCTCCATGTTTGTCATTTGAGAACAGGATGCTGCTGCTCTTCTGATATAGACTAAAATAACGACTTTATTCTTTTATTCTTTAAAGACTTTAAAAGTTCTACTTTCATCATTTTCGCGCAGGTTGGTCTCGAACTCGTAAATTTACGAGTTTAATCTCGAAATTTAAAAAGAAAATGTTTTTTAATGTGGCCCTAATTCTCCGTCGTAGGGGAATTGTGTTCTTTATTACTGATTTTTTTTTTAATATAGCCTAGGCCTATTTTGAATGTAGTAACAATCCGATGTGGGAACATTAAGGTTACGCTAGTAAAAGTAGAGTTTTACAAACGAATCTTTGATGTCATAGTATAAAAATAGGACGTTTAGCTAAGTGTTACCCTCCAGCTGGGCTGACTCTCACACGCGAACTACAAGTCCCAGAGAACAACGGGGCCCTCAGTACCGTCCGTATCCAGGAAGTCGAATGTGGTTGTCAAGCAAACTTATGCTGGCAAGAAAAGAGCTCCTTGACTGAAAAAATGTACATACTTTCTTTTTTGTCTACAGTTTCTTGCAACAGGTAATGCATTTTTTTGACTCATAAAATATATACAAGAAATGTGGATGTTTCAGTGATGTGAAGTTGCTTAGAGTTGTGTTATAATTCATTTTCCTCCCGTGTTTTTTGTTTTGTCAACTTGTAACCAAATCAGCGCTCGTTTGTTTCTAATTTAACACTTGGCAACGCAAAATAAGTTGGTTCGAGATGAATTAGTCTACTACTTCGCATCTCCACTTGTTAGAAATCAATTAAGACTCAATATCATTGATGTTGTTAATTCTTCTAGGTAGCTGTAAAGATGAGTTGCTGTCTCGGATCTGTGTCCCAGGGGGTCCGACCTGGTACAGCACGGGTCCAAGTGACTGAGCTCAGTGGATCAGGCAACATCAACCCAACTCCTGCCACCAAACCATTTGAGGACTATGAATCAGCAGTTGATGTTTACCTCACTCCAGAGAGGCTGGTAAGTCTGTAGCCTATATGCAAATAAGGCTTGCTTGAAGTAAAACTTTAATAGTCGCACAGTATCCATTCTGTATTCTCATGTTGTTGTTGGCTCCACGATTGCCAACTACCTAAAAGGCAGCATGTGCTGTGGAGGTTGCTGTTTCAAGTTGAAGGGTGCAGACAGAGTTATTTAATATCCTAGGTGTCAGATATCACATTTTTTTAAAGCTTTACATTAGCCTACATGTTTTACATCAAATTCATTGGTGTATGTCCAAAGTAGGCTAAATACTGGAATTAAATTAAGTCTGAAACAAATGTAGTTCAATGTGTCAGTACAGGTAAGCTTGTTTTGCTGTCAATTTCTGTTCCTCTGTAGGAATGGTTGTGTGGAACTCAGGACCTCTGTCGCGTGACCTCGCTAGAGCTCTGCATAAACACACAAGAAAACCCACTAGGCAACTTTGGTAAGATTTACAGTGACTGACGGCTTGATTTTCAAAATATTGCACAGGCACGTTAGTGTTTGTAAAGGAGTTCACCTTTTTGCATTGTCTTGGTTTTACTTGTTTATTTAAAATTACCAATGAATTCAGTGACTATTACTTTTGAATCCCTAATTATGTAACTGAAAGACTTCAGAGATTTTTACGCTAAGTGATGACTCACAGCAGATACTTATAATGACCACATAGAAAATTACAACTAAGACGCACAGAATGTATCAGGAAAAAAAATGGTTGTCGGGATGTTCCAAGGTATGACGCAAGACGGCTGAGCTGATAATTGTGTAGGAAAATATTCATTATGCTCACCTTTGTCCTAAGAAAATTCTAGATTGCACAACAAGTGCGGGCATGACAGAGCAGTGTCTGTACACGTATGACTCAGGCCAAGCCACTTTCAGTGCTCTACCTTTTATCCGGCTGAGGTTAAACATCGCACTTTGAAAACATAAAGAAAAAACGACACCTGAAGAGATAGAAATGGCTTTATCTGATCATCTTGTAGGTGTCTACTTGCCCAAGCTGGTGCAGCTGAATATGAACAACAGCGTGATTATGTCAGTAAGGTAAGCATGAAGTTACATAACACCAATACTATCTTCTTGTTTTATTCCATTTCCCCATGAGAATATATAGACTCATTATATGTTCACATTACCTCGTGGAATACGTCAGATTCTCAACAAGCTCAAATTCCCCGAAAGACTAAGATAGACAATAAGTGCAGTGTTAAACAAAACTGAATATGTGCAACTGGTTTACGCTTCTTGTCCCTCACCCGTTTTATATTTAGCTTGTGTTTATAAACAAAGCAAGCAGAACTTTCCTTAAAGAGATCTGTAATTTGACCTGGAGCAGTGATGAACTCGTGGGGATTTCTGTCATGCTTCACACTGGTCACGTGTGGCTACACTCCTCAACAAGAGTCTCTGGAAGCCATAAAAATACTTTGAAGCAGATCAGCAGGTCACAGGCCATGGGCATGTGTACCTGATGAAAAGTGTCTTGCTGTTGCGGTGCAGGTGTAGCACTCTGCTTTGCTTCTGTCAAGGTTTTCCAACTGGGACTTGTGAAACAGTGTTTTTGTATGGAGGCTGCATGTTGCGTCTTGTAAACTAACAGATGCGGTGTTCAAAGTAAGTAACAGGTTCACCCATGCCTGTCTTACCATCAGACTCAGAGGGGGGTTGTGGATATCTGCTTTTTCTACTCACTCTTCCACTTCAAAAGTCACGGTAAAGAGACACCATATGCACATTTTCTACTAGATTATTTTACTTATTTCCCGATGTGGATCAAATTACCGGCACAGACCAAATTTGGAAATTAGTCCGTTCGCTGGATAAGTGACAGTCCACTTCCTAAGCACTGCCAAGGTTCCCTTGAGCAAGGCACTGAAAACCCCACCAGCTCTGGAGCTCCCGCTGTGGGCCGCCCCCTCACTCTGACATCTCTCCTTTAGTGCATAGTCCATAGGATCCTGTTTGTGCATGTGTTTGTATGTGTGTGTAGCATGTCTCAATAACAGAGTGTAATATTGAATTTCCACTCAGGGGATTAAGAAAGTCTATCTTCTTAGTTTGGTGGCAGCCATAACTGATTTCTCAGAGCTGCATTAAAAAAACCCATAAACCTCCAGAATGACATACAAACAATGTAAATAGTTCTTAAGAAGAATTATTACCGAAGTTACTGTTGAGGGATAAAGAAGTAGAAACAGAGAGATAGGATGCTGTCTGCTCCACCCTGAGAGTAGCCGAACAGAGCCAGCCGGACGTGCGCTGCCTCTGATAGCATTTCCTGCTTAGTGCTATGGGACCTCTAGTGAAGAGGGTGTTACATGGTTGTAGATACAATGACAGAGACTCTGCTGGAAGGGTCAGAGCAGGGGTGTGCTGCTGAGACAAGTGGGCGGCAGAGGAGAGGCCTGCATATTGAGGAAGAGAAAAAGCTTCTCGCCTCTGTAGCCGGGGGACTGGATAGCCTTTATCATGATTCACGGTGTTGTGTAATTCCCCTCCCTGGCTCTAAATGAAGTTTGTGCTATTATGTTTCCATAGAGACCTGGGAACCACCCTCTCCCACCTGCAGGTGCTGTGGATGTTCCGCTGCTCCCTACAAGACTTAGATGGAATTCCTTCTTTCTCCGCCCTAAAGGTAGAGTTTTAGGTTGAAGAAGGCCTTTTAAAGACATTGTTATACAACTCCTTAAACTGTTTATACACTGGGATAGAAAAATAATGAAGTGCCAATTTTTGTAACTTTATTTAAACTTTTGCGATATTCATATTTCTGTTCTATGACAAAGTTCTGATTTTATTTGTATATGGGTCTTTGCTAGTCTGTATTTGTTGTGTGATGCACTTTAAATTCTCATATTCTCGCAGTATTTCCATATAAATACTTCAGATATAGAAAACCGTAAGTGCTAGAATGATGCTGTTTAGTGATCAGAGATCTTGTTACGTAAGATCCCAGTCTCTACGTGATATGAAGATACTATATCAGCCTGTCTGACTTTCCCCGTGTGTCTAACATGTTTCCTTTCCCTGCCCAAAGCATTTCCCTGTTATTGATCCTGTCTAAGTTTAATCCGTTTTCTATCTGCTAGTTTTTCTGTCTTTTTTCTAAGCTCACCTCTTGTTACCCTCTTACAAATTCCTCTACACTGCATGTCCATCCACTCTGTGTTTCAGGAGTTGTACGTGGCCTATAACAATGTGTCAGATCTGAGCCCGGTCGGGATGCTGGAGAACCTGCAGCTGTTAGATTTGGAAGGGAACAATGTGGATGACCTCGTCCAGATTCAGTATCTGGGGTTGTGCGGCAAACTCGAGAGACTCACACTGGAGGGAAACCCTTTGTGTGTTCGCCCTTACCCCACTGCCATCCAGGTAGAGTAGTATCCTGCTAATATTGTTCAAGCCATAAAACTCAGTGATGTACAGATATCCTTCCATGGTAAACGAGATGACACTTTCATTTAAAAATTCTGTATTAACTTAATAGTGCCCTTTTCTTAGCATGACCTGTCTTGTCTGTCCTTGTCTGGCTTTTTGTTGTGTCCTCTGTGATTCTGCAGACACAGATATTTGTCAAATAAGCAGTTTTAAAAGAGAGTGTAGTGCAATCTGAGACATCAGGAAGAGTCAAAATTAGTTGCAAAAGTCATGTATCTGCCTGAGCTGTATTTAAGACTGCCAGTAAGAACTGATCAGCAGTTGTGTTAACATCCATTCAAGCAAATGCACTGATGATAATTTAGGAGAACCTCTGATGTTTATTTGTACATGTTGATTTAATAAAAACCTTTAGATTATGCTATTAACCAAATGAACATACTTAAAGAACATCAGCAAAATACACTTTTTGGATTGTGCCACATGAAGTAGTTAACAAAGTCCTGAGAGGGCTATAGGGTCGAACAACTTTGCAAAAGAAAAAGAAAAACAGTTAGAGATTAATAAAAGCTTGAGTATGGACCTAATGCGAAGCTTCTGAATGTGTCCTATTGAGTGAACATTTTAAAAGCCACGTTGTCGATGCAAATCCTGTTCTTATGAAGGTATCGTTCAGTTAGTCATCTCTGCCTGTGCTCGAAGGCTGACAGGCCTCATTGCTGTGTCAGATATTGAGTGTAATGTAATTAGCATGAACTGAGACATGAAAGTGTCTGTGTAATCTCATCTCATGCATCCTGTGTGTCTTCAACACACCAGATAGCGCAGCGGGAGAGCGGGAGGCTTCAAAATAATCAAACATAACAACCACATAACTGACACGCTCTTACGTTGAGCCATCACGACACACACATTATGTTTTATTATTGCATCACAGTCATTTTTGAAAATGGAAAATTAGGACAGCTCGCCACAGACTTATCCAGTGAAATTAAGTGTAGTCTGGGTGTGAGCTGCAGAACATAGTGTGCTGTAAGTTTTTGGGCCACTGTGAATGTGTTTATTTACACCCACCAGCAGAGCATTAATTAGGAAACTGGGGCAATGAGGGGAGATGCTGAGCTGAATATGCATTAGGCCTGTGCTTTGTAGTGACTGAGGGGTTCTTGGGTTTGCTCTCTTGCCAAACTATCACTCCTCCTGCTCTCTTGCTTTCCATCACACACACACACACACACACACACACACACACACACACACACACACACACCAACACATCCGTTCACTTCCTCTCACCCAGGCCTTATTCTCCTTCTCTTTTCTCTTTCGTTTCCATCCTGCCAGCCCTTCATTCCCATTTTCATTCATTGCATCTGTGTGGTTTGTTGAAGGGGCCAGAGTGCCAGGCTCAAATTTGATTGCTAAGTAGTTCACTGATTCACTGTACTCTCTCTTCTCCGTCTCTCTCTCCCTGTGCTGATAAAAGTCAAGACCATAATGCAAAATGTCCATTTTAGAATTGCACTAGTTATTTACCTGAAGGCTTCATGACACTGCCTTTTCTTTAAGAAGTCAGTATACATTAAAGCACTGCAATGGTCAAATCAAGTGCGAAAAGACATAATAAAGACTAGTTTATATGCAATGTCCTAAAGCGCCTGAGAGTAACTTTGAGTTTTGGCGGTCAATTTATCTCTTTGCTGATCTTGTCTTGGACATGTGCAAGTAATGTTTAATTACGAAAAAACAAATTATCTTTGTTTTAAATGTCTAACATGCAACTCACAATAAATCTTTGGCGTGGAAAACTTTTTTTTTAAATGCTGTACCGGTAGCATCATCTTGTTTGAAACCTACCACCAGCAGTTTAAGTCAGTTGTAGTAACAATACAGGAAAAATATATCTTGTCGCTGATGGTCCTCCTGTTTGCTTTTTTAGGTCATATAGAGGCACCAAGGTTATTATTGTTAATAAAAACGTACAAAATAAAATGAAATGATAGAGAAAATGTCCTTAATTTCTTTGTCTTTGGCATAAGTATCTTATTTAGCCTTGTATATATTTGTCTTTTTTGCTTGTATTATGTTTATATTTAATATTATTCTTTTGTATGTTGAGAGCACAGTTACCAAAGACAAATTCCTTGTGTGTTTCTAAACATACATGGTCAATAAAGCTGATTCTGATAAGTGCATGGAGTGACATATATTCATCCTTACAGTTTGTCTCAGGCACTTAAGTTTTATTTTTGGATGATGGGCTATCTACTAAACTCTTGTTGTGGCATTTCTACAATTTGTTATGCCGACAATAAGCAGCTCTACTTCTCCATCAAGCCAAATAATCTCAAATACCTTACCACCCATCACAAGTGTCTTGCAGCTGTTACAAATAGGATGTCTGGAAATATTCCTTACCTAAATTCTGACAAGACTAAGGTCCAGGGGGTCGGCCCTGAGTGCTTCACAAAAGAGGTCGGGCAGCATATTGGTCCCCTGGCAAGCAACATTAAGTCCACATTTAGGAATCTTGTTTTTTGTCTTTGAACAGCATCTGAACATTGAAGCTCAGAAGACCAAGATTGTTCAGTTTTGCTGTTTTACTTGAGAAATATTTCAAAAATTAAAGCTATCCAGACACTACACATAGTTACTGGTAACTTTCTCTCACTTAGACTACTACAAGTCCCTTCTTCACTGGTATAACACAGTGTTCCTCAACCCATCTTCAGTTAATCAGAAAAAAGCAGAAGCTAGGCTGTTAACAAAACAAAACTGCGGTCACATATCACCCCACTTCTCGCCTTACTCCATTGGCTTCCAGTAAGCCTTTCCATATCCATCAGATCGGCTGAATCTGTGGCTTGTTTTAAAAAGCTGCTAAAAACTATTTTTTTTTATCAGCTAGCCTTTTTTATAACTACTTCCTGTTTTCCTTTAGTTGTTATTTTTAGCCATGTGCACAGCTTTGGTCAGGATATGATACTCATGTACATGATCGGTGTATGCCTAAAAGTAAATGAGTAATAATATATATAATATAATAATAATGTAAGTCATAATGCAGAAGTGTAAGATGCTTACGATTATTCACAGTTCACAAGATGTAAATAATTAACATCATATGCTAAAAATCAATCTACATACGTTTTCATTCAAAGTGTCAGTCATGTTGTCTGAATCAGACATTCTCACTTCCCTGTGTTAGGTTCATGTATTAAAAGGTGTGACGGCGTGCACTACTCTGGACTGATTTTTGCCTCTCTTATTCCTATGTTTCTTCTCCTTTACCCAGACGGCAGATTATAGTTATCGGGCTGCAGTGAGGGACTTGATCCCTCAGCTGCGTTACCTTGACAATTTAACGGTGGAGGAGGAGGGGCGTAGCTGCACCAGCACCATGGGAGAAGAGTGGACCATTCTCCGAAACTCCATCAGAGACTTACATTCTTTTCAGGCTGCTGCTGATGACGGTGTGTGTATGCAGCAGTTTTGAGTAATTTAATGCTGAACTGTAAATTACAGTTATGAATTTAATGGGACACTTACGCTTACCTTTGTTAAAGAACCAGCAGACAGTGCAGGTTCTCACAGCAGACCCAGCTCAGCCCGACGCGCTGCTTCCAGCCTCTCCTGTGTCCACCCCTTGTCCTCAGCCAGCTCCAGACCTCTCACTGGCTCTAGACCCATGTCAGCAACCAAGCTCAGTGTTCTCTCCCCTCCTGGATCCAGACCCAGTTCTGCAGACTCCGATCTAGCAACAGTGGAAGCAGAAACCAGCACCCTGATACATGGTCAGGCAATTAACCCCATGAAGATAATTTCCATCTCTACATGCTATCTTGGTTTCCTTTCAGTTCCCTTCTTATCAGCATCAACCTGTCAAAGCTATCGTTACTCAATACTGCCACCAAGGGGACTTTCTTGTGTCAGAAGCTGACACGGAGTCACTGAGTTTCTTCTTTATCTTTTGAAGGAGCTGGCAAAATCCTGTTCTGTGGAAACCCTGTTCAGGCTATTCGAGCGAGGCGGGAAAAATTAAAGGTAGGTGTTATGTGTTGGAGGACAAAAAAAACGAAATTATTTTAGTTTGGTGGGAAGAAAATCTGTTTTGATTGATTTTATTTTATTATTGTACATGCATTAACAATATGCTCAGCCCAAAACAGGCTTACAAGACACCATTAATAATACACAGAGACCAAAGACCAAAAGTAGTTAGTCTAGTTTTGAAAATAAAGAACATGTGCTGTATTTGCACAGTAGCATTCACTGTCAGATAATGGGAACAGAAAGCTTTATAGGCTTTAAAGTGGCCATTATGGCCCATCTCTTTAATGTCATGTTAGTATCATCAGAAGACTGAATGATTGCAGTTTTTTATTTGCAAGTCCCTGCAACAGCATCAGAGGGACCTGACAGATGTTGCTTACCACTGTCAACACCATCTAAAAAACACAGCTACTGTCACTCTCTCTGTTTCTCATGCTGCAGTGGTAGAGTCGATTGAGAGACGAAGGTTGTAGGTTTGATCCCCAGCTCCTGCAGTCACATGTTGAAGTGTTCTTGGGCAACACACTGAACTCCAAAATGCTCCTAGAGTGGCATAGCCAGCAGTGTGTGAATGCATGTGAATGGAATTAATAAATACTGATGGACACTTTACATAGCATCCTCTATCAGTGTGTGAATGTGATGTGAATGTGACATGCATTGTTAAAGCTCTTTGAGTGGTCCAAGAGTAGAAAAGCGCTAAGTCTTAAAGTCCATTTAGCAAGTCCATTTTACTTTACCCTCCTGTTGTTCTCTCCCTCTGACTTACATATATACTTAATTAATGCTCATAAGCCATTATTCTGTCTCTTTTCAATAGACAGCACCCACCAGGTCTACTTTTACCCCTCATAACCTGCCCATCCATGTACCAGAACACACGTACGACCTTGAGGAGCCAGATGATGGAGGACGGGATGATGTGTTTGCTATGCTGAGAGCTTGGAGGGAGCAGCACAGCAGGTACTAATTTCTTACAAAACTTATTACTTTTTTTAAATATGCAAACACAGTATATATAGTGATATTTAAACTATTTTTAACAACTGGTTTGTGAGGGGAAACAATGCATGGGTTTGTGTTTATGGCTTTTTGTGAACATTTTTGTAAAGAATTGTCATGTTACTTATTTTTAACAGAATAGCGTCTTCACACACAATCACTGAATTAATTGGGCTTCCCTAGATTGCTTAAACTGTTTGATGTTTTTTTTTGTCCCATTTCATTATATACTGTATATGCCATACTACATTTATATATTTGATGCTGTAACCCTGTTTGGAATTAAAATACACTTGTTTTGAATTGGATAGACTTAAATAGATACCATGAAGAATTCTTCTTATTCTTGTTTACCATCTGATTTCATTTGAAGATAGGCTGACTTGACAGACTTTTTTTAAAGACATATTAAAAGTAACCTCCTGCATTGTTTTCAGAGCAAGGATTTTTGTGTCAATTTAAAAAAAAACTGAAATGTCACAACTTAGTTTTTTGCAGTGTTTACACAAAAGATTAGTGAAAATCTCTATGGTAGGACCTTTAAATGCAATGAACAATCTTGTGATTTGTTTTTGGACAAAAGCTTCCCTCTCTTCAGACTTGAGCTAAAGAAACTAAATCTCTTTTGTTTTTCAGTCGTCTCCAGGCTATAGAGACGGAAAGACAACCACAGGTCCTGGCTATCCAGTACAGTGATGAAGAAGAGGGCGGAGATAATGATGATGAAGAAGGATTTGGTGGTAGAGGGAGTGGAGAAGGACATGGGGAGAAGACACAAGATGACAGCCAAGATACTGTCTCTCTAGATTCCTCTTTCCAGTCTCTCTCCCCAGGTGAATATTCACTGAATAAATGTACTTGCTATGGCTTCTAAAACAGCACTTAAAAAAGGTTTTAATTCAGAATAAAAAAAATAAAAAGCACATTTTTCCAAATTTATATCTGATCCAAAAACATTAACATATTTTTCTGTGATTTTGTTTGTTTTTTTCAGACCTTCATCACAGAGAGGCCTTATCTCCTGACATGGCTCGATTGTCCCTGTCTCTGGACACAACGCTGTCCCCATCTCCCCCTCTGTGTGCTACAGGGACCACCTGTAATCACAAGGCACCAGGGATCCGTGCACGTAGGCTTCGACTTCATAAGACCAAATCAGAACACTTATCTCATTTCAGTGGAGCAGGGGACTTCTCTGAAACAGACGAGACCAGGACCGATGTGCCTCTGTTGCCCTCACCTGTACACAAACCACGCCCACCAACAACAACTGCCCTGGGTGAAGGGCTCACTGGTTTATGGTAGGACATTAACAAAAACTTCTTGACAATATATTCATAAAACATAGATTTAACTATAATGTTACTGATTAATTATGTTCAATTTAACAGTGACTAATGGAAAAAAACATTCCCGTTTGACGTTTTTATTTAACTTAGTTATTTCAGTTGGTAATCATGAAACGTTCTCTGTCATTTAGTGCAGAGATGGAAGAGCCCGGCTTACAGACTGGCAACAAACATTTTCAAACTCCCATGAAGTCCAAACTCCCGGATAGGCCGGCGATAACTCGTCCTCATACAGCCAGAGCAGCCCTGCAGAAACATCACAAGCACCACACACTCCAGCCCAGCAGAGGGAGCTCACACCCAGACTGACACCACAGGAACAACACTCACTCCATACTTTGAGATGTTTTTTTTTTTTTTAAATCTGGAAAATATTGTAGTAGTTCCACTCAAAAAAGAACTCATAACTCAAAGTGCTTGAACTGTATTAGCAGCACAGTTTGAGGACTCACAAATAATTCATCTCAGCTGCAAGTTTACCATTGTCTGTTTTCGCTGCTGAATATTGAACAGGAGGTGAACATAGATAGATATGTCATGTTTGTGTCAGGTTGAATTATTCAGGTTTTTTTACTTTTATGCTACCTTGTGTTTTATCTATAAAAAAAACAACCGAAGAGTCCCGTTTATTAATACAGGCTGTACAGTGAATCAAAATGTAATGGTTTATTTGACAGCTGACTGTGATTGTCCTGATATTTTACAGTGTAATAGTCTTATCTAGCCACTGGAGGGCGCTATCTGAAAACATGAAATCAAATATTCAAATGATTGATTTGATCACCCGAGCAAAAAAAAAGCTTCCCTTGTAGTCCATGTATTAATCCTTTTTTTGCCCTTTGTTTACATTTAAAGAACAATTTACAGTCTTATTTACAATGTAATAACATGAGAGTTTAGAACGCAAGCTTTGGCCCCTGATGCTTCTAATACAGGGAGACAGCCTGTAATACTTTCTTTAAGCTCCTTTCAAAAGTTTTTATCTGGTTATGAAAACAGGCTGATATTAAAACTGATGCCAACCGATAAAACAAACAAGAACATTATTGGGAAGATTATTTCTAGTTATTATTATTATTGCCTGTTACTGTTGTTATCCTGGGTAGGGGTCAGATGAAGAGATTATAGTATGCTGTCATACGGCATTATTAATTGTATTTGGTAATTTTTTTTCGTGGCAATGTTTCAGAGTATGTTGTTTATTTGACTCTTAGAAGAGAGCAGAATTAGAAAACACTAACACTACATGTACAGGACAGGATCGGCAAAGAGATAAAACATAGGACTTTGTCTGCAGGGGTCCCCAAAATCAACACAAACTAAAAGTTCCTGACAGGCGCTCTAAGAGCTTGTAAAACTGAGTGTAGTTTTTTTTGCTTTGTTTTCTTTGTTTTCTCTTGATGCTATAGATCTATACATGGTATTCTTTTTGAGGGGAACAGCTACAGCCACGGCACTGACATTTCCAAACTTGACTGGTCTTATTTTGTATGAGCGCTTGACATGAGCACACACATCAACACACACACACGTTATGTTACGAGTGCTTCAGTTGTGTTCACAGAAACAGGATGTGAATAAATGAATCCAGGCAACAGCAGACAGGGATCATACCTCGACAGCACCACTAATACTCCTCACCGCAGGATTAAGACGAGTACACATGGGACGTAGGAATGTAAGATGTGTGTGTACATGTTAGGGTGCATATCCACTCAGCCATGAGACAGCTCTTATGTAACAAGTCAGTGCACTTTTTTTCTTTCTTTCTTTCCATCACCTTGGATCATCTTCTCACACGGCTGCTTCATTTGTGGAATTGCTTGTCTCCCATCGCTCCCTGTCAGGTGTTTTTTTTTCTTTCCAGCACACTCCCATCTCACTGGTGCTATTACGCCTCAGGTCACAGATGCAGGAGAATAGAATGAAAGGAGAGGCTTTAAGGTGGGAGAGTGGGATGGAGTCCACCTTCTCTCTCTGAATAGTCCTCTAATTTCAGTGGAAAGTATTTTTCTCACAGCTGGTTAGGATTGGGGACCTAATCGGGCCTTCCGCTCCCCAGTTATTACCAGATGATGATGCACATCAAATAGGACTGGACATGAGGATGCATCATACATGTGAGAAAAGCTGAACTGCACATTTTAAAGTGAAACTTTTTCATTTAGTATATTTGATACTAATGAAACAGCAGTTTGGTTTGGTAATGTTTTTCTGTGAGAACATCGCTCCATAGCTTTTTATGTTCCTTCAATATTGCGAAGAGGTAATTATGTCTCTCTTTTATAATATTTCTCTTTTGATCTAACAAAACACCAACTGTGGTTTTGAAAAGCCAGGGTCGATTATGTAAGATGAACTTTTTTAAACAAAAATCAAATTAAAAAGACAATTGTAGCACAGCAGTGCCACCTGCTCATAAATCAGCTTGTGACACCTTTTCCCCATGCAGAGATGATTATACAAACTGAGGGAGGTTAATGTTATCAAGGCATATAAAATGTTTTATAGAGGTTTAAATAGAAAAGTAAGTTACTCAAGCTGTACAAGAACAAGTCCATTTACAAACCATTTACCATTTATAACCAATAAACACCAACACATGGGGTAAAGAAGCTGCATGCTTTTCTGTCTGAGTGAAGTGGATACAACTGTGTCAACACACACTGTGAATGCCACCAAAACAAATAGCAGATGAGGCGGATGTGATTCGATTATATTCTTGATCATGTCGGGAATGTTGTTTTTACATTTCCCAAAAGACTCCATGGACGTTATCATAGGCAGGAGGTTCATATAATAATCTCTCTGCACGCTATACTGCCGAACGTTCATGTTGTGACTGCAGCTAACAAGCTGGGTGTGAATAATGCACACACTCAACAAAACTATGAGACTGAAAAGGAATATGAATTTGATTTAATCATCGTAGGAAGCACCCTTCTTGTTTTGACTTGAGACAGGTCACTCTTCCTAACATGTGCTGTACCTGGAATTGCCTGCAGTATGAGTTGAGACAGGCCCAGGAGAAGCTGTTTGAGCAGTACAGATTTTTAGATCCAGCCTGGAGGTACATTCCTTTTCACTGCAACATATTTAGGTTGCATTACTCTGCTGACAAGTTTACAACCAAAATCCAGACAAACAGTTCCTAATGGTATAACGTTGATCACAATTACTCATGTCCTTTACTACTTTTGGATTTGAATCTAATCTGATACCAGAACTGTTAAATCTACATGAACAGTCGAAGTATATGGCAAATAAATTGTCAATTTTTAAATACACTGTTTGGTCTGCGTTTGAGCATTGTTGCGCTCCAATCACATTTCAGGGTACATTTCTTGTATGCCTTTATTTGGAGATAGGACAGTGGATAGAGTCAGAAACTGGGGAGAGAGTGGGGAATGACAAACGGTAAGGGAGCAAGAAGTTGGAGGACTATAGCCTCCGACATGGGTTGTGCGCACTAACCACTAGGTTACCGGCGCCCCCCATTTCAGAGTACATTTTTATCACCTAAATAACTAACTCCATACAACTGAATAGTGTTTTGTATTTTTTACATTTACAGTGAAAGAATAAACAGATGTTATAGAGGCTATTTCACATGGGCAAAATAACTGTTAGGTCTCTGACTTATTGTTGTACACTGCCGCTAATACTCAATTATCCTCACATTCTGGTTCAAGGTAATGGGTTCCAAACCTGTGAGCAACACGAGACAGTGTGGATTACCTGTTGCTCACGAAGAAATGTTGTGGGACTAGGATAGAAACCTGTTTTCTGGTACCTTATGTTGCACTCGTAAATTTTAAATCATAGAGTCAATAATTATCTAATCATAACAAAGCCTTAAAGAGCTGTTGTGGTTTCCGTTTGTTTACCTTTCAAACGTTTTTTGATAACGTTTGTTTTAGGTCTGTGATTTGTTCCATTGGAAAAAAGTCAGCCGAATGGTTTAGTAGTTTAGAACCGTAAACTATTAGTCTTATAGGTCTACATATTTTTCAGTAACCACATCCTTGATTGAAAGTTTTAATCCTACATATCTGAGCAATTTTGTCAGCTTAAGTGATAAAACATTAATTGTTCCCCTTCCTTTTGTTTATGCAACAAACCTTATTAAAGAAAAGTATGTGTTGGAAAGGTTGTCAACGAAGCAATTACAACCTTCCTCTTCTGATACATTCTCCTCCTCATTGCAGAATTTGGCCTCCTTGTTGTAACATGTTGTATTTATCCCACATCAGTGTTGCATATTGTGACAAGCCTAGATACTGTGCATTGATGTGCACAATATGTGGCCTCCATAATTGATGTGAACATTCCTGATCACAGATAATATCAGATATGTTGAGTTAGGTTCTCAATAAAGACTACAGTTGAGCTTTATATACTGTCATTTTACTTTAGTATATTTTGGGAACACACAACAGCATACAACAACTTATGCTTGAGGTTACACGCACACATTACTCCTGCCTCAACCGGAACTACTTTCTCTGGCCCCGCGCAGTAATACATTAGGTAGGATAAACATATAACACCACAAGATACAGTATGTAAACTGCAGAGAATTAAGAGTGATCTTTTGAAATAAGATATCCGAGATATTCCCACAAGAATTGCCTTATCTATTTGCTGCCTGGTTTGTAGAAGTTATACTGTTCCTATAAATTGGAATCAGATTAAGTATAATGCTGCCAACAAGCCATTGATTTTCCCAAGCCATATTTTTCCCACAGGCTATCCATCTTTGCATCATCAAAGGAAGTGAATTAATTCCTTAAATGCCAAACATCCATCATGTTACTAATTTTTATTTGTAGTTTGGGCAAAAAGAGAATAAAGCACATATATGAGCCCAGAGCCCTAACCATTTTGGTGCCCAAGGCAAGATTTTAGCGTTGCCCCTTAAATTGCAGCCAGTTTGACCACTAATATATTATATTCATCCACTTAAAGAAAACTGGTATACAGTTTTATATTTAACATTATTTATTTAAAAATAGAAAATACTTAATAAACATGAATAAAATGGTATTAACTTTAATATTTTTTATAAATAAATACAAATCACCAGTGTAGTAGAACAAACAATATCAGTGCAGGGAGCAGAAGTGGTCACAGACGGCACAGGGACAGCAGGGGATGGTTTTAAATGTTTTAAAATGGCATCTGGAGAGAGAAGATGAGCATTTGTTAAACAATCTGCATTTTATAATATAGTGTGAACACAAAATATTATTTTGTCTTCAGAGCAGTACAGACACCTGAGCATTGTTTTACAGGTGAGCCCAAACGTTTTCCTTACAACCAGACCTACAGCATGCACAACTATCTATACAGAGAGGACTTCATGCACAAAATGCATTCATGCTCTCAGACATCAATACTCTAAAGGCAAGAGATTATAACTCTTAATGACAACAATAAACATTTTAATCGACTAGGGTGAAAGATAACTAAGTTCACAGAGATGTCAATTAATATAAAAGTAGGTTTTGGGTCCCAAACAAAATAAGAACAAAAGAAGAAGTGTATATCTTACACTGGTTATTTTCTTAACATGAATAATCTTAACCTAATAAAAGTACAGTGGAAATAACTGAGGTTAACTCGAGGTAGGAAACACTGACGTTACTATAATCGATCATAACAAGTAGCTTAACTATAACAGATAATTGATCTGTGCAGCATGTTACCTCTGTGTCTTTTTAAGATGTTTCCTCTTCTTCTTTTTCGTCCCTGGGCTTCCGAGGGTTTTGTTGTTGTTTACATCACGGTCATTTATAAACGTGATATTAATCGGTACACTCATTGTCTCTCACTTCTCTTCAGTCACCTGCCCTCCTCCTCCACAACGAGCAGGTAATGAGCAGCTGTGTTGTGATGAGCCGCCTCAAGCAGGAGACTAGAAAATAATAGAGCCTTTTTAAATGAGTTGTGTTTTCATGGCTTCTTTTGGATCATTACTAAATAAAAGCATGACAATTATATTAGATAAATAATATTTAATGATATTTAAACGCATTTTTCCTTCTATTTCTTCTTCTTATCTTCAACTTTTCTGCCATCACCCTATGGATGATGGCGCCCCTAGCATTTGCCAATACTGCCTATGCCACAGGCCGGCCCTGTATGAGCCTATAGGAAGGACACGTTTTTTTTTAAGTCAGTTCACTCACTCACATGTTGCGATAACCTTCTCGGCAAAGTCTTTAATTTGAAACGTATGACCGGAAACCGTGTTATTTCTATTTCCGGATTGGCTTGACATCACTGGACTGTTAACAACGAGGACTAGACGTTTTGTCTGTCGTCCCTCGGACCAGGTTTTACTTCTACAGAACAGGTAAGCTGTTTAT